TGCATGAAGGAAGATACCTTTTATGCATACCTGTAAGCCAGCAAATGCTTTAATACTGTTGAAACTATTACGTAAACTTTGGGTTTATGTATTTGAGTCTGTCAGGTATGTGCCTAGTCCTTTAGATCAATGTGTATGTAGGTTTGGTTGAATTCGACTTCTTCACTGTTCTTAATACCCTGGGCTGTAGATGAGGTTTTGATACTGGTCACCTGCTGTATACGTGAAATTGATATTAGTTTGTCCATTGTTCATTTGTGTTCTGGCTTGATTTTGTTGTTTCTCAAAGTACTGCCTTTGGGTTTATGCCAGACAAAGGAAGAAGATTGGCTTAAGGCTTCTAAGAGTTCAGCCTTACTCCTCTGAGCTCCTCCTGCTTCTTGCTCTTTGGCAGTGGTTTCTTCAAATAATTGATATTACTACGATTACTCGTAACGGATAACTTACGTTTCACTGTTGTCACTGGAATGAAGTGCTGCTCATCCTTTCCCTGCCAAAGTCCGGGCTAGCCAGTAGTATGAGAAGACCTGTGCTAATTGAAGGGAGTCACCTCTTACAAGTTCATGGCAGAGGGGAGACAGGATCTGTAGCCATTGAGGTCATTTACCACAGTCCAGTTGCAATGAGTCTTGTGTACCCTTGAACATAGAGGAGGAACTTTCAGTGGGTCTGTAAATGGAATTGTGGCAATATTTAAGTACTCGTGCCCTTTGCCTTTCCAAAAGCTCGTGGAAAACTTTGTCTCAAAAAGAAACTCAGTGACTTACTACGATCTTCCGCTTGTACTCTGATAGTTCGATTTCTGTTTTGGAGGCAGTGTTCAAAGCATAAGTCTGTCGCAGGAAAAGCTCCTCCCTAAACCCTTTTCTCAAAGCAATCAGTGACTGTCCTTTGGCTCTTCTTTATCTTCTACCTGCCACTCGCCTGCCCTCAGTCAACCTGATGCTCCCATCGTTCTTCTCTCTCTTCTCTCCCTCTCCACTTGCTGGGACAGCTTAATTCTGCGCAGAATTCAATAGCGTTGAAGTTTTATCTTGCATAACTAAATTTATGAAACACTGAAAATACTTATGGTCACAGGTATGAAAATACATATTGGACCCAGTTCTCAGATGGGAACTCTGTGATTCTCTAACTAAAGTGTTTCTCTTTCATTTCAGTGCTGTATCGAAAAGGTCCCCCCTTCTATCATGCAAGGTTTGAAGCTTATGTTTTTTGACTAATTTCTTACTTTCAAGTTAGTAATTTTCTCTCACACAAATTTTAATCTCTTCACTGGTTAAGCATATACTATTCTTCACCCAGAATACTTTACCAGATGTATTTCTGCCTTGTGAGTTCATGTTGGGAGTGCAAAAGTCCTTTTAGCAGTAGTATAAAATATATAAAATAATAATTTCATGAATTAATTCACATAACGATATTATAACATGAAAAAAAAGTTGAAATAAGCATATTCTGCACTCATGAGGAATGCACACAAAGTAATCTGATTTAGTAATAGTGACTTAAAAATAAACGTTATGGATAATTTATATAATTTGGAGGGAAACGGCAAGAAAAAAGTTTTAAGAAATTATAATTACCTTCATTCCTTAGCTAGCTTGAATTCCTAGTTAGTAAATTGGTTATGAATGTCAGATTGGCATTCATGAGAGTGCTACAAACATCAGAAAGGTGGGGAGGAAAAGTGCCAGTCAGTGCACTCACAGCTTCCGTTTCTCTTCTCCGGTTTGCCTAGTTAGTTTCATACCTTGCTTACCTCCTGCTGGCTTATTATCAGACCATGACAACTAAAATTACCACAGGTTTTTAGGCTCTAATTCTTAAGTTGCATGATCTTCCTAAAACAGTAATTTTCTTTCTGTGAATTGTCCTGTCTGCTTTGTTTTCCAGTTACTCTGTCATTGCTGAATTAGTTGATGATAATTTTGAAGGCTCTCTTCGGAGACCACTCAGCTGGAAGTCCTTGTCTGGCTTGAACAGAACAACTGTTAATGCTTCTAAGGTAACGGTGTAAGATGCTAGTTCTGAAATAGCTTTTGAACGATAATGCAACAGTCCAGTTCTAAAGAAAACAGAATTGGAATGAGACTGGAAAGAGAATCTTTGCTTCTGCTCTGCAGAAGAACATGCATTGCTGATGGATGAACATAAGTTCTGTTGGCCAATATCCAGATGAATTCTGGAGTAGGCTTTAACGTTCTGTCTCCTATAGTAACTTCAGAAGTTGTGGAGGGAACAGGAGAAAGACCTGAAGGACGCTTGTTTCTGGCTTCCACGTGTTTTTTTCTATCCAGATTTCCCTTTCAAATCTAGACTTGAGTGTTTCCAGAAAGTTTTCTTCATGTTGGACCCTCATACGTAATGCTCCTGTTGCCATAACCGTGCTGCTTTGTCAGGTGTTTTGTTACTATTCTAGTTTCTCATAGCAATATTATGCATTTGATAAGGAAAACGAGATATGCATATTTACAACTCTCCCCACCTTGGTTTACAGATGACATCCTGTAGGAAACTTAGTATCTGCATTTCTAATTAACGTAAAGCTTGTATGAAAAGAAATCAGTTGAAACTCATGTATTTGTCTCTGTCAGTGAACATGTTCTCTGTTTACCAACAGGAACTTATGTTATGCTATTTGATTAGACCGTCTAATATGACTGAAAAAGAGATGTCCACACCAGAATGTATGAAAAGAATTAAGGTTCAGGCGAGTAACTGTTTCTCTCCTTTACATATGTAGTTGTGCTTTGGGGTAGCTGGACAGCTAACTAACTGTACTGTTAGAGCGCCCTTGAATTGTTGCTTGCTGTCTAGCATGCTTTTGTTTTTGCATGCATAACTGCAGTAAAACCATCCTAGATTCTTTTGTGCCCCAAGACATCAGAAATTCATTGCAGGGCTTTTAAAGACTAAGATCTTCAGATTTGGATTAGAAAGTTGCTCTTACTGTGAATGTAAGCATTTACATGGGGAAACAGAGAGAAATACGGAGACTCTAAGGTTAGTGGATGTTTAAACATGAAGGAGGAAAAGGGTGTGAGAGACCAGCATGTTTCAGGGACAGTCATCTCCCAAAATTTCTCAGTGGTCAGGTAATGTATGTCAATCTGCAAGAGGTTAATCACCACCCATCACTGATTGTAGCTTTTTTTTTTATTTTGCTTCCATAATAACTGCTGGCTTTTTTTTTTTTTCAGGAACTGATTGTAACTCGGTGGGTTTCTTCTCGTGAGCGCAGTGAGCAAGATGAAATTTAACTGACTGTATGTGGAAGAATTTAATCTGTGTAAAAAAAAATTTGTGTGCATGTTTTTTTGTTTTGTTTTTTTTTAAAACCTAATCTCATGAGGAACCATTGCCTCAGAATGTTTTATTAAGCTATTCAATGACTATGTATAAATGCTATTAAAATCAAGGCATGTCCTGTTTGCTGGAGAGAATGTTGTATTGGAAAACATAACTGTAGTAATGCATACAAAGGGGAAAAAAATTAAAGCTATTTTGACCCCATTCAGAGTACTTTGCTGTTTCTTTAGAACTACATTCCCTACAACCTTAAAATACATTCTTGTACCAATTGACCTAAATCCATATTAGCATTGCTGGGGGGGGGCAGAGAATGCCTCAGTGATTGTACTGCATGCTTAGTATTAGTAGTTGGGATACCTATGGTCATGTTCTTCAACCAAAAACTGAATTCATAGCCTTGATGGAATTACACAAACTTAGATTTGGGAAGATATTTGGTTGTTGCAATATCGAGCATTGTATTGCTTTGCTGTTAAGTGCCTAGACTCTGGAATTTAGCTGTCCCGACTATTTTCACAGCGCTGTTCAGAACTGGGGAGCTTTTCCCAGAAGGTGCAAAGATTTAGATTAATTCCAGGATATAAGTGCCTAACAGCAATATCGGATGTTAGAGAGCAGGACATGCTGGGGAGGACCTTATCCACTTGGGATTTGCAGCATAAAATTCCACCTTGAAAGTAAGTGCCTAATCTTGTTCTGTCGAAAATCAGTATGGATCACCCCTTTTAAAACAGGGCAGATGGTACCTCCTGGCCCCATTTCATGCAAAAGCTAATGGTGAAGTTGCTCATCCAGCTTTAGTTTCCTCTGCCTTGAGAAGTTAAGCTTGTCCCTTGTCAGAAAGGTGCCTCAGCTGCTGGTGCCCTTTCCTTTTTTGAAGATGCGTTACTGTACACAAAATAAATGAGGTGGCTGCATAAGAAGCCTCTGCTAACAGCAGCTGAATTGTGCATTTCAAATTAGCTGTCTCCATTAATACTGTGTTGGGATTTTAAACACAGTTTTTAAAGGTGCTATAATTTAGACTTCAGCAAGTGGGAGAAACCAGGGGGGAAAAAAGGCAGTCTAAGCAATTAGAGAATACTGTAGAGGACAGGGTTAAGGCAGTTTGCTTATGCAAAAGTATAAATTAGATATGGAGAAAACCACAAGCATTTATCATTACTTCTCCATCTCTGAGACACAGGACTTAAATCCAGACCAGAACCAGTTTACTTTCCTGAAATGCATAAAAGGAAAAATCCCAAACTCCGTTCTTAAATTAGAATATATCTAAATTAAGCGAAATTATACAAAACTATGAACAAGCATAACTTTGTCCTCAGCATACACTTTTGTATAGTATGCAGCAATAATGCATAATAGGTAAAAGTGCTCTTGAGGGATCTTTTTAAATTTAAAAAAAGCTTTTAAAAAGCTTTTAAAAGTCTTAAAGTTTTATTTCTGAGTTGAAATCCTGAGGAGTCTGTTGTTCATTATAGGTACAACATGAAATGATTATCTTCTAATACTAAGTGTTTATCTTGATTTGAGGAATAAATGTGCGCTCTCGCTCTCTCTCTCTCTCTCTATATATATATGTATATATATAAAAGGAAGAATTAGAAAAGAAATGTTTCTGGCAAAGCAGTTGCATTTATTATTATTTATTAGTAATTAAAGTAACTTTGCATGTGGTGAATCTACAGTTAGTCAAGAACTTTAGACTTCAGCAGTATGCAGCTATAAATGCCCTTTTTATACCCGTCCGTAAATAAATGTGACAGTTGAGAAAATAACATTTTGTTTTGCTAGGGGTTAAAGTTACCACAGTTCATCTGTTAGAACCCTTAATTACACAGCAATTACAATTTCTAATGCTAAATATCTTGACTGAACATGCTGTATATCAAATATAAATAGGAAAACATTTTTCCATATGAACAGTTCCCATATAAATTTTCAGTAGTGTGTAAATTGCACGTCACTTCATTCACATATACAAATTTAGCAGCAAAGAGCATGATCCTTTCATAACAAGCTGGCCAACATAGGCGAAGGAAATCGTGATTTTACAGATCAAATACCTTAAACCATGAAAGTTGGATGCTAAGACTTCCTTTTCCTTTTGTAGATATTTTAATGGAGCAGCTTAATTTCAGCACTGTTTTTCTTGATCAGGATGGTATACAATGTAGAACTCATTAGCTGTTAACTCCTGATGCAGAGTAATGTATTTGGAAGCTTTCTTTGTCTGTGGGATCACAAATTTCTCTGTGAATTCACTTTTACTCATTTGCGGCTTCCCTTGTGCAGTCAGCACACTGTTAATAAATGCCAGTGCGTATGTGTAGCAGTTGTGGTCATGTTCTTCATACCTAGGAAAAATATATCATTAATAAGTGTTAGCACTAATTTTTTAATTACTGTGTGGAGGAATATATTTTATTGAGCAACATAAAGGCGCACATGTTCTCCAAGAACTACTGCCGCTTGCCTTTAATGCTGGTGCTTAAATATATTCTACGTATAGCAGGTTGCACTTTCCAAGCCAGAGATGCTAGAAACCATAAACTTTAAAAAAAAAAAGAAGCTGCAGAGTCTAATGAGGTTTTTTTACCTACACATTAGGTTTTTGCCTTGCTAACCTTCACTCTTTGAACTGATACATCGTTACTCTGTTATCCTGAAAACTGCTTCCTGCAGCAGTAATATTATGTACCACCACCTCCACTGCTTTCAGCGTGGCATTAACCTGGAAGCCTACTTAAAACCAAGTAAATTCTATCACTAGTATCTCGATAGAGTTGCTATGCAGTGTTCCAGTCAAACTCCCATTGGTACTAAATTGTGCCAAGTGTGCAAGGACAGAAATACTAACTGAATAGGAGTCAGCGTTTAAAATGTTTTTCTTGTCTTTTTTTTTTTTTTTTAATACCTGCATATGGCACTCAGCTGTTCTCTTTTCACTGTCATAATGTTATTCAGCTTCTCCGAAATGTTTCATGTGAGTCACTAACAACTTCAGCAATTTATTCCATTCGTCACTGCACAGTGCTGCTCTTGCCATTGGTCCTGTATAATTGCATTTGATACGGACCTGGTCAGACTGCTGTCTGCCATCTGCCTAATCCTCAAGCTGCTTCTGTAATTGCCTGTGTCATTTTCCCTTTGTTCTTCCTAGCCCTGTGACTCATTCCTTGCTTCATATTGTTAGTGGCTCCATAGTCTGTGTTGATACAGGAAATTTTGTATAAGGCTTGCATGTTTTTGCAAGATCTGGAGACTATTGCTATCAAAACTTGTCCAGTTAAGGGTTGCTCACTGCTCTCTCCAAAGCTTTTCTGGTTTGTTGAGTCTATTTTAAGTGACCTATGAGCTCCCATTTTGGAAGTAAGCCATGTGCTGCAGAGTACTTACTTTACCAAAATAATTGTTAAAGCAAAATTGAGCAACTTCAAGAGACCACCATCTCTGTGCGGTGCAAAACATCTGGAAATTCCATTGCAAAAAATGGTGGTTTAACTTTAGCTCAGTGTTGAGTCTGCAAAGCACTGCAGCACGTCCTGAAAATTTATGTATATGCATAAGTGCTTTAGTGAATCAGTGCCATGATAGAGTAGAGCAGATGTTTAACAAATCTCATTTCTGGATGCAGACTCTCTTTGTTTTTCATAATGCAATTGATTCTGTAATACCCTTCTTAGCATCTGTGTTTCCAAGTTAGTGTCTTTTTTTTTGGGAAGCATGTCTTGATGTCTTAACAAGCAAAACCCAATATTTTTCACTAACGTAAGATATTTCTGGTCATGTCTGCACTTGCTGTTGTTTGCTGCCTTTATATACCATCCTTCCAGTAAGTGAAAAGCAAACAGGAGAATTAGAATTAGGCTTGGCCCAAACCCAAAGGAGAGGTACAGGATTAGTTTAGCACAGTTCCTGTCCTGTTAAAAAAAATAAACCGAGGATTTAAATTAACTTCTAAAAAAACTCACTTTTCAGCACTTTAGCGGTCACTCTTCTATTTCTGGAACAAGTAGGCCACTTTGACAGGAGGTGGCAGACAGGGTATCTATCAACTATTCTTTGCATTCAAGGGAAAAATCAAAGAAAGGTACATACACCTACCCTCTCCTCTACCATTGCTTTTTGACAGCACATTAATTTTAATAACAACATTAATGCACCGGGAATTGTAAAAGTGTCAGATACTTGAAACACCAATGGGATTTTTGTTCTATAGACACTTAAAATTGGATCCTAGATCAAATTCTTGCATCTCCTGATATTAGGGACATAACTTGCTCTGAAATTTTACGGTCAAGCACCTACAGAACTGCTAAACCTGTTTTGGGTTCCCCCCCCCCCCCTTTTATATAAGATGCTGTCTACTGCCATTAACATAACTCTTCGTAGAACTGGGCTCAGACAGGCTGTTTGTTAAATGTACTCTTACTAATGAAAATTTCAAAGAGCAAGCTGCTTTGTCACCAGCAAGCTTAGTGACGTGGCACCACGTTTCAGCCGGGCTGCGTAACTTGTAACACTGTCAACAGTGGCATCAACTTCAAGGAAAGCCAAAAAGGGAACTGAACGTTCCAGTTGGAACATACTAGTTGAATTCAAAATACGTGGAAGTTTTTCTGTATCTAACCAGCCAAAACAAAATGCTACAAACCAGCTGGAAGAGCTGATCACTGGCAATGAGCGAGTCCTCTGGATGTCAGCTCTGAGCAAGAATCCCATCAATATGGTCAGGATTTCAGCCTTTAAATCCAAATTCACCTAGGACAGTTGAATTCTAGGACAAATATAATTATACAGTTGTACCTGGATTTCTCTACTTCTGTAGCCTTTCTTAACACAGCACATTCCTTAAGGCTGTGTTTCAGTGAATTGGTCTTTTCCCCTGCAAAATTATTTTGTTGCTGAAGAAAACTTCCCGAAAACATTCTTTTCGGTTAAGGCTTCTACATTCCAGCAGGTGAGTTTAAGTTAGTTACTACTTTAATGCTATTGTTCTGTTTAGCAAGGCCAATGAGTTTCTAGATTACTTAAGAGTTGTTTAGACTTGTTAGACACGCGTGTCTAACAGAGCAAGCCTCTGAAGCCTTGGAGGATCCAAAACAGAATAACCAAATTTATCATCCTAGATTAAATACTCCTATTAAATCCAGCTTTTAAGCTACCTACCTGTGAGGTAGCCAGGCCTCTCCCGCAGAAAATTCCTCTAGGAGCTTATCCCATTGGTGAAGAAGCCCAAACATGTCTGGCTGTACTAGTGGGATACTAATGCACTGTTCCCATCCAGTTTCATCTCTGTGAATGCCCTCTTCATCGTAATTATATACCAAGCCTGAAAATAGAGAGCAGCAGACAGTCAGGTAGTACTGAAGGATCAGGTGGAAAGCCATTCCCCAGTGATGAAAGCTGCTACTGATTTTCCACAACGCCGTTCTTATTTAGACTAGTTATACCATAGCTTTCCGATCAGTGGCCTCCTCCTGCTACAGAGTGAAACCTAATTATTATTATTTTTTAAATCAAGGAACTGTTCACAATTCAACATTGTGCTTTCGCATATCTTTGCATAACGAAGACAACTTAAGGACAGAAAGGCTTCTTTTTTAAACCCCAAAGTAGACCATTTCTATATTAAATAAACATTCCCTTGACATGTTTGCAATTGAGACATGCTCAATGCTTCTACTGTGTGAGAACGGGAGAGTAAATCAACTAGGAAGGGATAAGGAACTGAGAACAGTCCCACTTTGTTGTTCAAGATGAGTAAATTAGAAAACAGAAAGTATGTGGTACAGAATAAAATATAAAAGTTTTTAGGTATCAATATCAAAGACATTAATCCAGCACACGGACCAGGATTTCCTTTAAAATACAATTTCTAACATGACTTTTTTGTATCATTACGGCTGTATTTTGAGAATTAGCAAAAACTGTGCTGAGTTGGAAGTTTCCTGAAACTTCTTTAGAAGGACAGGCTGCTGCGTTTTTATTTCTGAGTCCAGGAAGAGCAGTCAGCGGTGCATGCCATTCTGTGCAGCTGCTCAGAACGGAGGTGGCCCTGGGGAGCCACGGCCTAGGGGCTCTGATTTGAAGCTCTTTGTGCTCGCTGCTGCAGGGCACGATAAACGGTCGGCCCAAGGTATTTCGGCCTGTGAGCGATACTCCTTAGACGTCAACAGCGAGGCCTCCGGTTTGCGTACCCGCAGCAGCGTGAGGAAGCGTGCGTTCTTCAGCAGCAAACATCAGATACCGGGGCGCTACAGCTCGCCTTTTTAACATTAAGTTCCAAACAGCTGCACAGCAATAGATTTGGCTCTGAAATGACTGTCACGCAATTCGATCGCCTTCGAAGGCGGAGAGCGGCAAAGCTAAACTGGGAACACAGCTTACACACGAGGGATGGGAGACCGGCAGCAGGCACCAGAGCACTTCTTACCATTCATGTTGCTGATTCCAACATGAAGATCGGACTTCCCATCATAGCCTCTGAAAGGAAAAGAGCAGTATTTCTGTGCTTGTTCCCGTTAGACACGGCCTTCAAACGTCCCTTTTCCCAGAACAGCTGCTACCTCCTGGGCTACCCGGCCCCAGGCCGCTGGCAGGCCGGAGGGAGGCG